ACCGGCGCGGATGTTCAACGCGATTCGGGTGTCCCTGGATGGCAAGTCGGCATCGGTCAGGGAGCAGCAGAAACTGCGGCTGGGCGACCTGCGACGGCGGATTGCACGGGCTGAGCAGCAGAGGTTTCCGATGCCGCCGAACATGGCCGGCTTGATCAGGTTCATCAGAAGAAACGGAGGTTGGCCAATCTGCGGCACAGGCTGTCTGCACTGGAAGCCGACATAGCTGCGGGCCGGGTGCGGCTGTGCTTCGGGTCGAAGCGGCTGTGGCGGAAGCAACACAATCTCGAGACCAACGGCTACGCCAGCCACGAAGAGTGGCTCAGGGACTGGCGGGACGCTCGCAGCAACGAGTTCTTCGTCTTGGGGAGCCGGGATGAGACGGCGGGTTGCCAGCTCTGCGTGGCGACTGTTGCTGACGACGGGACGCTGACCCTGCGGCTCCGAATGCCGAACTGCCTGGCGGGGCAACACGACAAGTACGTGGTAATCGAGGGTGTGTGGTTTGCCTACGGCCACGAGCAGGTGCTGGCGGCACTCCAAAGCAACGCTGATTACGCCGCCTACCGGCACGAGCACGGTGAAAAGAGGGCGCGGGAAATTGAACTGGGTCAAGCCATCAGCTACCGGTTCAAGCGGGACGAAAAGGGCTGGCGGGTATTCGTAACCACCAACATGATGGGAGTGCCGGTGGTTACGGACCAGCGTCTTGGCGCCATCGGCGTGGACCTCAATGCCGACCATCTGGCCGTGGCTGAGACCGACGCCAGCGGCAACTGCCTGAACGCCTGGCGGGTTCCGCTGGCCACCTACGGCAAGAGCAACCGTCAGGCAGAGGCTCTCATCGGTGATGCAGTTGCCAGCGTCGTGGCTTGCGCCGAGGAAGCGGGCAAGCCCATCGTCATCGAGAAGCTGGACTTTCGCCAGAAGAAGGCTGCTCTCGAGGGACAGTCCCGTAAGTACAGCCGGATGCTGTCGTCTTTCAGCTACGGCAAGGTCAAGGCGTACTTCATCTCCCGCGGCTATCGTGAGGGAGTTGAGGTACACCAGGTCAACCCGGCCTTCAGTTCGGTGATCGGCCGGGTGAAGTTCATGGAACGGTACGGGCTCAGTGTCCATCAGGCTGCGGCCTTGGTGCTGGCCCGTCGTTTACTCGGTTGCTCAGAGCGCATCCCACGCCAGCGGGCCTGTCCCGTTGGCAATGGCGTCCATGTCGCCTTCACCGTACCTGCAAGGAAGCGGGTGAAGCACGTGTGGACGTACTGGGGCGCGATCTCGGGACAGCTGAGACCGGCGCTTGCAGCGCAGCAGCTCGGACTATGCGGATTGTGCCTGGCAGTGACTGCTATCACCCGCAGTTTCATGTCAAATCGGTGTCTTACGGCGGAAGTGTCGTCGCTGTGTGTGCTGAAACACGCGGGGTGGCTTGAGCGGGGACAACAAAAGAGGACGATGGACGGTGTTCGGTGAACGATTCCGCGGTTGCGCGACGCGCCGATCTGTGTCGTGCAATTGCGCGACGGCGCGCGCGGCTCAGACCGCGTCCTCAGAGAAGGCTGACGGAAGTCCTGTGACTAAAGTCAACCATTTTTACAACGGTATTGGTCCCTTCGAAAGCTTGTTGTTGCCAGTTCGGGGTCGGTTGTCAACGGCTGGCAGACGGGGTCCGTTCTGTTCTGTGGTTACGTCCGCTGGTCAGAAGACCGGTTGTGCGAACCGCCGGGTATCCATGTCTCTGCGAGCGCGGCGAACTTACCACCGCCCCAGTGACTTGGGCGGGCCCGTCCGCAGGATTATCCCGGTCGGGCGGCCCCCCTGCCGGTGCCTGCCTCCGGTGCTTGCCCTGTGTGTAACGCGCACGCCTGGTTCCGACGCGGCTCGCCACCGTCTTGCCTTCCGGCTCCACCAGGTGCTCCGGCCGACGTCTGACGCCGGTGCCGTCGGTGATTCCTACAGAGGCCTTGAGCTCGTTGGAGGACCCCAAGCATCCCCGGGGAGCCCGGCATCCTTTACCGGCGATTCGGCCCCGGCGGTTTGCGCCATGCTGGGCGTCGCCCGCAGTTTGTACACCTTCGCCCTGTGGGACCGGGAACATCCCCGAATTGCCCACTCATTGGGTTTCAGATTCCCTTTCTCGTTAGCTACTGGCGTAATCGCAAAGCATCAGCATTGCGACAGTACTCGAATAACTCTGCGGTTCTCCTGAGATTTCTTGCGGAATAGGGAGTGTTATACTGTTTTTTGATACGCGATTCCCTTCAGAAAGGCCTCTTGGCAGATGTATTAGGTGCAAGCTTGCGCCTCATTGCAAGGATTCTCACTCCCGTCATTAATGAGAGGATGAACAGGCAGCGAGCGAGGGCCCCCAGTGCAGGGGTTGTCGTAGCCTGTGAAACACCGTAACCGACGAAACCGAATTCACGAGAAACGAGGGATGGTGCGATGATTGGTGACGCTTTCGTATTCGACGCAGTTACTCATCTCTATAACATGAACAGTGCCAATGTCAGAGCTCCGGGAGGTTCGCTTTTCAATAACCACCTCTACGGTTTTCACGCGGCTCTCACTCCTGAAGGCGAGAGGGTATTGACCCAGGACGAATTCCTCCGGGATTGGGACATCGAGACCATCGCCAACCTGGTGTTCACCGAGACTGACACGGACATCCTGGTGGCGCAGCCGCTGCCTTTGACTGATTTCTTCTACGACGGGCTTTCAGACTGGCAGCGTTGTGCCGCCATGGCGAAGCAATATCCCTCCAGGGTGGTTACTTGGGGTACAGTGAATCCCTTGGAGGGAAATAAGGCTCTGGACTTGATGGAGCTTCAGGTTAAGGAGCATGGAGTCAAGGCGTTCAAGTTCTACAACATCCGCTATGACTTCGGTGAGCCGTTTCCCTGGAGGATGGATGACCCGAGGGTAGCCTTCCCGGTGTACGAGAAGGCAAGGGAACTGGGCATCAACCTGATAGCCGTGCACAAGGGAGTGCCTCTGGGGCCGCAGCCCCTCGAGGGCACACAGGTGTACGACATCGACCAGGCCGCGGCGAACTTCCCGGACCTCAACTTCATCATCTTCCATCCCGGCCTGCCGTTCATCGAAGAGATATGCTGGCAAATAGTCCGGTTTCCCAATATCTATGTGTCGCTGGCGGCAACGCTGAACTTCATCGGCAAGGCCCCCCGGTGGTTCGCCGAAGTCTTGGGGAAGCTGTTGTTCTGGGGCGGCCCGGACAGGATCATATCCGGCTCGGAGGTCCCTTTGTGGCACCCGCAATGGGCGCTCAAGGCTTTCTCGGAGTTCCAGATGCCCCAGGACCTGACCGACGGATACGGCTATCCCCAAGTCACTCCGGAGATCAAGCGGAAGATTCTGGGCGAGAATCTCGCCAAGCTGCACGGCATAGACATCGAAGCCAAGAAGGCTGAAATCGCCAACGACGAGTTCGCCCAGCGTCGGGCCAACGGCCTCGCCACAGCCTGGTCTTCCAGCTAACAAGGGGCCACCCTCGCCGGGCAGCACAGGAGACGAATGAGCTTTCCAGTAGAACAACCCGGCCAACCCGGGGAAGATAGAGTCAGGGAGGCGCTGCAAAGCGTGGGTTGCTGCGACGCCAGATTCGGCGTCGGCCAGTTGGGCTTGGTTCACGATGTAAAGGTGGGGGAAGACGGCGCCGTATCGGTGAAGGTCCTGCCATGCTGCATTTTCGGCATGACACGCCTTGTAACTTCAGTGAAGGAAAGCCTGTCGGAGCTCGAAAACGTTTCCAGCGTGGAAGTGGACGTGGCATGGGACCAGATTGGGAAAACCAGCCCGGCACCACAACCCGGCAAGCAGGCACTGAAACTGGACTTGGATACGCTGACCCGCAAGCACGGATTAAAACCCTGGGGGCAGTGACAGCTCTCCGTCAAGGGAACGGGTTAGCCAACCACGGCCTCGGGCGGTTGCCTCATCAAGAAGCCTCCCTGCTAGCGCGCTTGAAAGTGTTCCAACGAAATCACCGCAATACCCCGGCCTCTGGAACTGAACAACTGCATCGCAACCACCGACGCCATGGCCTGCCAGGAATACCTCGACAGTTCTGGAGAGTGGCCACGGTGCTACGCCACCGGCATCCCGGCACTCACCCTGATCGGGTCACTCTGGGGATGGCGCACATCCTTCTTGTGCATCACTGGCTTGAACGCTGTGCTTACTATCTCCTTGGTGCGCAGCATCCCCAGAGATAAAGATGGTGTTGAGTCATTCGAATCTCCCCCTCTGAATCCAGGGGCGTACGCATGGATGCTTGCCGACATGGCCACGGTACTCCTTATCGCCTCCACTCTCCTGAGAGAATCCAGCATCTGGGGGTTCTACACCTTCAGGGGAGCCTTCTTTGTAGAAACATTCAGAGTGGGCAGCCAGCATATGCGGGTCGACTCCGGTAGGGGTCAGAATCGTACGCTAAGGCTGCTATTGGCGCTTGGCCACCGGTATTCGCCGGCGAGCAGGATGTGGGCCCACCCAAGGGGTGAGATGTGGGCCAGGAGCTCGGGCTTGACTGTCAGCCCGGTGTGTTTCCGCTGTCTGACCGCTTCGCCGAGATGGACGCATTCCAGTGGATGACGATGGCGGCTAGCAGGTTGAGCCCGGCCATGTGGTAGTACTGGCCCTCGCCCCGTGCGCGAAGGGGACACGCTGGTCGCGCCGAAACCAAAACCGGCCGCAGGTTCGTCCAGACGCCCGCGCCATCGCCGACCGGCTTCGGGAACTAGCAGCTGTCCGAGATGAGTTGAGAGACGATGTACGTGGGTTGGTGTTCTGTTAATAATACGCTTCAGGGGTGCGCCGGACGTTCGTCGCGTACAGCTATTCCATCTGGCGCAAGATTCGGGACAGGTTGTAAGCAAACCAACCGCCGCCGATCCTGGACGCCTGCGGCTTGGTGGTGAATCCGAACAGCCGTGTCTTGGTGGACTGTTTCTTCCTTCTCTACGACCCTGCCCTGAAGTGCTGGGACGGTAGTGGAGGCCCTTGCGACCTCAGGCTCAGGCGTGTGTGAAGAGCCGCGCGTGTCAAGGGCGATGGGATGTGGAGAGGGGACGAGCTACTGCCTGCCACGGGGCCTTGCCTTCACCCTGAGTTTCTGCTACTACGGGGCGGATCAGCTGCAGAGTCGGGCATCTCCAGCATCAACCAGGGCCTGCAGTTACGCGAGGTCGGGCTGCGGAGGATGTGTGAAGGCCTGTCATGTTACCTGTTTAACGTCAACTACTTT